TTACTCGCTAGTTCATCTCACTTATTACAAGGAATCACAGGAATATTATCGGGTGTCTGCTGTGTGCATACTCATTAAACTATTGGCACTAAGCTATGTGCAAAATGATGATGAAAGGATATATACACTGGCATACACACACAGGAGAGGCTTGCACTGTATTTAACAGTCATCTGGGCTCCAGCAAGCACATTTCATTGGCTCTCTGTGCTTCAGTGTTGTAAGTGTGACCTCAGCACCTGTGGTTCTTCAATTCTCTATGTTATTCTAGCCGGTTCCTGGGGAAGACTTAGTAATTAGGACTGCACTGCACTGATAGCACCATTGTTACTATAGACAGACACACACACTACTTCGCTATAACTCTTATATACTCACTCTTACGCACACATTTATACTCTTTTATACTCACATTGGCTTGATACATCAAGAAGGAGACTTGATGTATGAGGCCAAAACAGTGAACTAAAACAGTGAACAGTGGCCACAACTAACAATTACAGAATAATGGCACATTAAACCATTAAAATGCTTGGCTTTGACATGATTCAGTGCAGTGTAACAGTGATGCAAGAAGAGCCACAAAGTCAGTAAATAGATGTCAGTTATTCAGTGATATCTATCTAAGTTTGCTAAAATTAGTGGTAAACCGTTGGTCATCAGACCAAGTACAACTATAGCCACTCCAAAGAGTATTTCATTTGGTTTTGTTGTTAATAAATTTAATGTTTAATTGTTAAGAGGAAGAATGTGTTATTGCTTCTTTCAAAAATGACAGTCTCACTTTAAGCAAGCCTTCAGCCTATCAGGAGCTGAAAATGTGAACTAACTCATTTAATCACACTTCCTTCCTTTCCTAATAAACATTCACCACACAATCTCTGCCTCACACTCACAATCACTTTCTCCTCCACAAGACATAATACTCACACACACAAAAACAATGATGTGCTCACTCACTCATTCCACTATTCTACCACATAAAACCCTCATCCACCATTTTCACACACTCAGCTGGTCTATCTCACATACACACACATCATTTCTCTCTTTAATTTATTATAAATAACATCAATATTTCTCACACACACCACTATTCTATCGCAAATGTATTACAATAAAGAGTCAAATGGTATATGTAGGCAAGAGTGATAGTATTTGTGGGGGAGAGTATAGTGGTGTATGTGTGTGATTATGATGGTATGTGTAAGGGAAGGAGTGATTCATGGTCTAAAAAGCCTCTTAGACAGACACAGATGTAGGTATGTGCATAGTCATACACATTTAAAGGCAAAACCATGTTAGCCTAGTGGGCAAAAAGTCAGATTCAACACATACACACAAATGAAGACACATGCATACACCAACATGTTTTATACACACTGCTAATGCCAACTCTATCCTCAAGACATGTCTCTTGGGAGATCTTCTCCTCAGAGCTGTAGAGTAAGCAGTGAGGTCAGTTGTATACATTCAACTTTATGAGCTTGACTTGAGTAATATATTGTAGTTTGCTTAAGTGATGAATGGACTGTTTTTATGACCCCCCCCCCCCCCTGTATTAACATGGGCTGAGTGTCATGTTACTATTACATTACAACAACATGTGAATGTGTGTGGCTTATGCTTGTTCACCTTGGAACTCTGTACTGTCCTCCCCCCTCTCTGCTGCAGTCGTCACCGACACCTCACAGGTCCTAACTATTGTTTTTATTCACATGATCTTGTTTTCGCATTCCAGCCAGCCATCAGCAGCCTGCAAGCTATGGAGCAAACATGAACACAAACCCACGCAGACAGACAAACACACACACAAAATCTCTAATCCTTCAGACCGCACAATATAAACAAAGTGGTTTAGTATCCCTATCGACAACATGTCTTGTCTAGGTCTGTTTAGATAAGCTTGTTTTATTGGAGAATGTTACGTCAAATCTTTACCTGTCAGTTTTCCCCTTGTGCCCAGAAAGATTTTTATTTTGATATGTTTATTTCTGGTTTGTTTTACAGGTGACAGAACAAGAAGACTGGCTGAGGTTGCCTCGTCCTCAACAAAGAGAAGCTGCGGGTAGCAAAGGTCACCCTATCCTAAAACATTCAGCTTGACACTAAAGTAAACACACCACACATTATGGCGCCATGTCTTATCAGGTAACCTTCCATTGTTTTGTGCTTTCGTAACACTTTTTCATCCTCACAGAGACAATAATATGACCTCTACGGTGCTAAATAGTGGCTTATGAATGTGTCTTCTGCTCCATTAGCTTCATGTTATGATTGGCTGAGCTGCAGACAGGAGATCTTCAAGACAACATTTGCATTTCAACAAACTTTGCACATATTTAAATATTTGTCCCCTGAGGAAATGTTCGGCTCGGAGCAAACAGATGTTTAATTATTCTCTTGAAAAGCTGACATGAAACTAGGTTCTTGGAAAATGTCCTGTATCCTCTTGATACAAATTTGACGCTCTTGTAACAGACACATTTCTGAGAATGACTCTCCCAGGGCAGTACGGTATATCATATTGCTCGCTTTGATGTTCATAGAAGGACTGACTTGAATGTGGCTCTTCATATAATGTTCAAAAATAGCTGATACTCAGCCTAGGCTGACCAGCACAGTATGTACTGTGTGGTGCACTACCTGACAGAGCCTTGATTTGCTACGTTATGCTGTCCTGATCAGATAGCAAAATGACACTGTCCTCATCAGATAGTATGCTCACTATCTACATGTGCATATGTGCTGGACTGATAAATTAGGTATGCATTTACTGTTGTGTATGTGAGGAACTACACGAACATCAGCCACCCACACACACACACACACACACACACACACACACACACACACACACACAAACAGCAATGTCTCCACATTTGGCAGTGATTGTGACCCTGCTATCCACTGTTCTTTGAAGATCAGTTTTCTGAGGTGATCTCTAGGCTCACTCACTGAGCCAACACGGCTTGGCACATCCTAATCCCTGAAGAGCAGAGAGAGAAGACAGGGGAAGCAAGAATATTCATCTCACCAGGAACATGCAAACTAATGCTTTTCACAGACCCATATCAGGACACAATGTGCCCACTTGCTGTCCTAATGTCTGCAGCCAGTGCATTCACTGACTGTCATTACTGTGGGAGATTTAGAAATATGCACAGCAGTGAGGCTGGGGGAGCAGGCCTGAACTTGAGCATACTAAAGAGCCCATTAATCCTTTTTAATTCTATTAAGAATTGGACTACAGCTGGATAAGAGGCCAGCAGAGTTCCAGCGACTACATCTATAATGCCTTGGAGACCCACAGTGAAAAGCTCTTACTTAACAAAAATTCATATGCAAGGAAATTTCTTTTCCTCTCCACAGCTGAATCAATTTACAGCCTTAAGCAGCTTTTAGTTGGTAGTAAACAAAGATAGGGTGAGTTAGGTGAGGACTGTGCAAAGAGATATCTTTTACATGTCCATCAAAAGGGCCACATAAACAGGGCCAGAGTTTCCCAAATGGAATTTGGCAAAGCTGCAAATGCCGTGATGATGTTATCAATGTCCGACAAAAAAAAACATGTATGATACATGTGTCCTTTCCTCAAACAGAAAGAGCTATGCAGGTGAGCTACGTGCCTTCCTCAGCACACTTATCTGTGTGTTGATTTGAATCAGGACTCCCTCGCATCCGCCCTGCTATTTTTGCACCTGTCCAATTTCACAAAAATCATAATCTTATCAAGGAATTCCCCAAAGTTAAATATGAGTAAAAGGGAGAAAGTGGCTTTAGTTTTCTCTCACAGTGAAGCGTGTAGACAGTAATGGCTTTCACCTGTTGAGATAAGGGTTCAAACACCCCCCCCCTCATTCTAAATGACCACAGAGCAAGGCTACTGTTCCTACTGTGTGCACAGCCACAGCAGTGTAAATAGTGAGGCCCTTGTGCCTGGACCTTAGTAATCTGAGCACACAGAATCTGCCTCTGCTTGTCGACCCTGATTCATTTTCATTAAGGCCAAAGGGTTAGTGAGGACGACGCCAGTCGCAGTGTAAACGAGATGTCATGTTTGACAGGGTGTGTGTGCTCAGCTCAGTGGAGCAGCCAAGCTCTCGCTCAGCTCAGTCACACACACCAAAACAGAATACAATAACAAGGAGTGAAGCAGGCACAGAGAGACAAGAACCTGTCACACAAGCACAGGCATATACATTGTTCAGGAATGAAATGTGTCTCCCTAGTTACAGTATTATGAAACAAAACAGGCCTGAAAACCACGATCGCATTCCTTCCCACCCTGACGCCCCACACCCATCACCCTCACTCTCCCCAATCTACCGCCCCATCTGTTCTGCCAACTGCTCCATTACTCCTTCCCTTCATTACTGGACCACTTTTCCTGCTTGTCTGTCTCCCTTACCTCAGCATTATGAACACACCCATTACTGCAGCTCTCTCTCCTTCTCTCTGTCTCTTGCCCTCTCTGTCTAATCTGAGCTGCTTTTTATTCTCCTCCCTCAGCCTGGAAGTAGATCGGAGAGAGGGAAAAAAATGAAAGAAAATGCCTCAGACGGCACAACCTGTATCTTTCTAAGCATCTCCATGGTAGCATGACCCCCTGAAACAACCCATCATGCTCCACTGCACTTGAAAAGGACTGAGAGTGGGGAAGGGGCAGACCGAGGAAGGGTGCGAAGGGGAGAGAGAGAGAGAGAGAGAGAGAGAGAGAGAGAGCGAGAGAGAGAGAGAGAGCTGTAGTAATGAAAGAAATGAGGAGCACACTGGAGTGGAAGCTTCCAAACACAACAAGAGGTTAAATCACTTATCATTTCACTGTTTGCATTTTGTTTCAGCCCATACAGAGGCTGGTATCCTGTTTGTAAAAAAAAATGAATGGCTCTACTGTACGCTGACTGACTTTCTGACTGTGTGTCTTGGTAGGCATGAGAGACTGTGGTGCATTGCTTTTCAGTTTGCTGACCCCTAAAAATAACAGACGACAGAAGAAGTTAAAAACATTCAACATTCATTTTATTGGTTTGGTTTTTTGATTACAGTGGTTATTTCTGCCTTTCTGGCATTCACAGACAAAACAAACATGGAACAATAACTGAAAACACAAAAAATATAGCTTTCTGATAATATCCGTGGCTCAGTCTAGTAGTTACAACAGATACAATAGTAAGTCTCCGTACCTGATCAACACAAATGTAAATACAAACATAAACATGTAAAAACTGTCCAAAACTGGAACTAATACTTTTGAAATTCTGTGTAGTTTATAAAATGACATAGCTATTTACATTCAATTTGAATAATTATCATTTCAAGAAAAAAAAACAAAAAACAAATATAGTGTATGAGTCTGACATTAACAAAAATAAACACTGATTATTTAAAATTGTGATAAAATATATAATATTGATTATAATTAGAAGGTTCCATTATGTACGTTCAAGTGCTATTAATAAAGATGCACAGGAGGGCCGCTGGGGTCACACGACCATGTCAGCTCTCCTGTCACAGAGTGGCATAAATCAAGGTGCAGCTCAGAGATTGGAGTCCAGGGGCAAGAGTCAAAGGTTAAAAAATTCAGTCAAAACTCCGCCTCTGAGACACAGTCAAAAGTGGTTAGTACAGAAAAGTGGCAGCGAAGAGGAGGAAGTTAACCTGATTCCTCTTTGTCACTGCCTTGGTTACTCACAAAAAAGAAAGATAACATTGTATTACAGCACAAATACTGTCTTCTTTGCTTACATACAGGTTATTTTTTAGTCATAGTGTTGTAGGGCAGTCTGATTAGAGCAGTGACACATCAGGCCACTGGAAGGTAAAAACGGTTAGAAGTTGGAGCCAGTGCTTGTTCCTTATCGCTGCCAGTTCTGTAACTTTGTACAGAGCTGTCTTTACATCTGAGGTCTGATGGTCTCAGTTCACAGCGGCGGGGTAATGTCTTCCAAAGCTGAGCAGAGGATCAAAAACAAAGAGGAGGTGGGCGTTTTCTCCTCTCTCACCCAAGACCAAAGAGCGAGCAGTTCTGCTTTGAAAGCGAACCAAATGCACTGACCAAATGCCTCAATCACAGAAGAAAACAAGTTCAGACTGGCAACTATCAACATTAGCAGCTTCTAAAAATCCTCTTGAAAAATAGACTTTTTATTTTATTTTATTTTTTCATATATAAAAATATTACTATGCAGTTCTTTTCACTGGACGGGTTTGACTCACAGTCATATGTGCTTCTTGTATTTCACTGTATCTTAGATTACTGTGTGAATGTATGTTTTGTATGTGTAGCAGTATGCCCAAAAGAGCAAGCATGTGTAGACTTTTAATTGTGTCCCTCTCTTAGAATAATTCCCTTTCTTAAAAACCTACTCTCCCTTCTCTCTGCTGCTCACCTGTGCTATCTGACATTCTCTCTGTCTTTCTGCAGTCAGTCTTCTCTTATCATCTGATTCCCGAAATGATTGCATGTGCCTGCTAACAGACAGTTTGCTGGCTGCACAGTGGACTCTCCAGGGACGTGCTAGTGGGAGACAGGTCTGGACGGGCGCAGGGCTTAAACATGGAGGAGATGTAGAAGGCCTGCGGGCACAGACACAAAACATGTCAGGAAATATACACAGACCACACACACTGTCAATCACCCATTGTTTATAAGCACCAGAGAGATCACAGTGGGAAAAACGAAGGCGAGAGCCTATTGTTTAAGCTAACTCAGTCAACAGAGAGCAGAGAGAAACAAATCCCGTGAAGACAGAGATAACTGTTGTTCTAGACAACTATTAAGACAACAGTGATTTTCGACATACCACCCAGTACGCAGTGAGCCCTCCTTGGATGAAGCCTGTGAGGACATCGGTGGGGTGGTGACGGTAGTCAGAGATGCGGCTCAAGCCGGTGTAGATGGCGATCATCAATAAGAGGAACTGTATTAGTGGACGCAACAGCCGAGCTCCTCGCCACGACAACCGTGCCTGCAGGTAAAACTGCAAAGAAAAGAATAGAAATATTTCTATCATATTGTTACTGACTTGATAAACAGTATAGACACGTGAATTTAAGCATGAGGGTTTTTGTGTGTTAATGTACGCCCCACAAACATAAACTGATTATTATGTCTAATGATTCAAGTTCTATAAATGCAAGCAGAGCCCTTTAAGCGAAACATAGACATCCACTCAGTCTGCTACCCAGAGGGGGAAAGAGAAGCTTGGCAAGAGTCCATTAACACTATCTAAACCTCATTTCCTCCTTTTGTTCATCCTCGCCGCCTGCATCAGTGCTACAGTGCAGAATGGATGTTTGTGTCTGTAAAAATGGGGTCACAGGGCGAGCGTGATGCAGATGCAGCGCTCACTTTACGAGGTGGCTGTAGGTCTGTCTGGACCCGTCAACCACTGAGGAGCACGTGGCCTACATTCCTGCACTTAGACCGACCCTCGCCAGGTCCCTCTCTTCCTCCCCTATCCCAACTGAGAGCAGGTGTCACTGTTCCTGCCTTAAACTCAAGCAGCTGGCCACGGTGCGGGTGGCATGTAGCTACAGGTTTGACGCATTCTCTCCAGGTTGCCTACAATCTGCTGAAACACTAGCTAGCAGCAAACTTGCATGCAAGGCTGTGTGCTTGTGCCTGTGGTGTGTGTGTGTGTGTGTGTGTGTGTGTGTGTGTGTGTGTGTGTGTGTGTGTGTGTGTGTGGTGTATAGAACATTGGAGGTGTGATGTGGAGAGGAGAGAAAATAAGGTTAACAAACACTGAGGCCCTCGGTTTTCTCAGAACACTTCTTCCCTTCAGTTCTATACCCTTTTATTTCTCTTATTCAGTCTCCCCCTACTCATCCTTGTCTATCTCTTTTTGTTCAGAAAGGAGCTGCTTTTCATTTACACTTCTATAGTGCACAAGTGCAAATAGAAGAGGCAGATTTTCTTTTCGTCTCTTTTTTTTCCACAGCACCATCTTCACTTCAATTTAGCTGCACACAATAAAATATTTAAGTCACTTAAAAGCATAATTTAAGGGTTAAAGAGGTGGAATACCTGAGAAAAATTAACATTTTATGGAAAATAATGCGCTTTTGTCTCCCTCTAACTGTCATTTCTCTCCCACAATGCATCCATGACTACTGGGCAGTGTGTGAGAGAAAGAGAAAGATGAAGAGAGGGGTGGCTGGGAGGGGAGGAGGGGTTTAGAGGGTGTCTATTGCTGAAAGAAGCCTGTCGATCTCTCAGCAGGCATATTCAGCCTTACCCCCCCCCCCCCTCTAAATGAGACCCACAACAAGGCCTCCACTGTCTGCGTAGTCTCTTCATCTATTCATGCTCCCCCTGGAAAACATTCTCCCTCATTCTCTAACTCCCCCACCACCCCACCACCCTCCCTGTCTCACCAGCTCTTTCAGTTTGAAGCAGGAGGCGTTTGGAGAACTGCTGCTCTCAAAGATCTCCTCCCCCATGATCAGGAAGTGTGAATATATTCAACAGCACATGCCTTGATGTGCGTGTTTGTGTATGTTTAATTAGCTTATCTAGTTAATAGTTGCACACAGTGTTCTTGGCCTCTAGGGAATGATGTTTTCTCTAATAACTAAACGAAAGTGAGAGCTATAATATTCCCCCAACATTGTAAACACAGAACCAAATACTGTAATTATACCACACAAGCTCAGCTGAATGGTGAAGGTCACATTCCAGATGTGTGTGGTTGAGTGTGTGTGTTTGTAAGGTAGAGGTGACTTACTGCCAGATAGAGCATGGTGTACATTGCAAAGGAAGCATGGCCAGAAAAAAAAGACTTCCTGAAAGAGAAAATCAATGAAACATGCCAAAAGTTAGATATTTACTACTCTTTTCAAGCTACAATACAGCACACCCCACCCTTAGCAAACACACCAAATCATTTCTGAGCAAAAACACACACCACACACACCACACACCTTGCCTCCTCCACCATCTTCTGATTATGCTGCCTGCAGTTGACTTGGGACACATAGCTGCCTGGACTGCAGTTGATGGACGCATAGGTGATGTTACAGACGTACAGGAAGTTGGGTCGCAGACGCCCCACACTTAGTTTGGCCATATTGGTGAGAGACTGACCCACACAGCAACCAAACAGGAAGCTTCCCAGCTCCTTGTACAGGCATGACACATAGCGGTTTCGAACAAAAGCCCGCGAGTGTACACCTCGGAAACGCACCCGGTAGCATTCACCCAGTGCAATCTGAGAAAGGAATAAGACAAGAGAAACGAAAGTCATACCGCAGAGCCGCTTGTTTTACTCTTATTACAAACACATGCATCATTAACCATATTAAATTGATGACAACTTTAACTCACTGTGCTAATATTCAGCAGATATACTGCTTACCGTTAGGCCAGTGATGGCTATACCGCCAGCGATGAGCAGGCTGTCAGGGATGGCCTCTCTCTCCACGTAGGGATAGGTGATACTGGAGTCTCCACAGAAAAAGCCTCGTTTGTACGGAGTCACTGCCTTCAACTCACATGCAAAGAATGGGATGGAGGCTGATGAAATGTGGGGGAGAAGGAGAGGGGGGAGGCAGACAAAAAACAAAAGATGGCTTGATGAATGTCTGTGAGCATGTGGTCTGTGCAACGAGGATCACAGAAACAGCAAGATACAGAGATAGTCGGTAGCATTGACTAACATAAAGGAGGCCTTCTCCTGTCGCACAAGAGAATGGCATTGAGATACAACATGACTTCCAGATCACTGGGGGATCAAGCATTCCACACATGGCTGCTTCCACCAGAGGAGCAGGGAGAAGGAGAGATGATGGACATCTGAAGACAGACAGATGGGAATGACAGTGGAGAATTAAGATGAGGAAGGAGGAAGAAGATATTAGAGAGCATATTGCACAGAAAATTTCAGTGTGCAAAAGGGGACAATAAACAATGTGGGAAGGACAAGGTATCGTTTAACAATGACATATTGTTCTACTGAAAAGCACTTACTTTAATCAGTCCATTTTATCTTACATTAACAACTGCCCTACATATCTGTTCACTACACTTCCTGGTTGGTCACTAATCTGTATCAGGTGAGAGGGGTCAAGGTCCGACTCACTTAAGCAAACACACCTCACAGCCTGACGGTGAATGTTCACTGGGTAAAAGTTGTGCAACATTTTAATGTTGTCAAGAGGGTGAGAGGGTGTTTGTTTCTCCTACAAATGAGGGCTGAACTGCATTGCTTTTATTCTGTGTTGTACTAATGTACTAATAGCCAATAGCCCTGTAAAGGCCTGTCCAGCCTGCTCCATTTCTCTGTCCCTTATCCCATGTCCCCTTGTCACCCCATGGAATGCAGCGAGAACATGGGACTAATCATTAACCTCTGTGCCTCTCCCTGTCATCCCAGGCCTGCTGGTTGGCTGGAACGCACCCAGGCCAAAACACTGCTCCTGCCAGGGAATCTCTCAGACTACGTGACTGAGTAGTGCACAGGATACACACTCAAAATCAGGCCAAAAGGAACAACATATAAACACACACCCAAACATGCAAACAATAGAACGCAAACATGGCTTTAAGTGCAATACATTAATAATTTTCAACCAACAAAGGACAGGATATGAATACCTGACCTAGGTACAGTAACTGTGTCCACAATGGCTTTGTTTCAGTTTTAGCTATTATTCTGTATGACTGCTATCACAACCATTAGGTCCACTAATAAAACACCCATATGATTCGTTGAGCCTCACCAAACTGATAAACTAGAGTAATAATCTATAGATTTGAGGCTATCAGCAATAACAAAGACACAACTCCCAACTGCTGTGTGACTGCAATGTACCTGAGATACAGCCAGACTGGATATAACTGTACTCAAAAAAGTGTGCATTAGTGACCTCTGTACTCAAAGTCATGCTGCCCTAACAGAAAGACAAAACACAGATAAAAGCCAGCCCACTTATATATTTTTTTTTTTAAATGTGCCTGAGTAAGGAAGTGAGGGAGGGAAACACGTTGCAGGCAGATAGCAGCAGCTGTGACGCCAACAAAGAGAGAGAGAGAGAGATAGGAAACACCTCTCATCTGACCCACATCTCTCGCTCATCTCAATCCGTCGCCACAGTCACGGGCATCTCCTCACACACACCTACGTAAATTCAGCTAAGTCACGCACTAATGTAGCTCAAAATAACACACATCTGTATGTGACCACATACAGGTGCTGTTTGTGCTATACATAACCTTAATGTTAGGTACAGTTACATTACATGTCTTTAGGAACAGAAAACAGTTTGCTGTGCTTCAAGTCATTCTGATTGGTTTTATATTTACTAAGATGGTTGGAGTACTAGATTAAGTCCATTTTTCCTGTTCATTTAAAAATAAATATCCGGTAGGAGGGTTTCCTGGATCATTTCTGCCACCTGCATAAATTGCACACACATTTCTTAATCCCCATATCGTAGTCCCTTTATCTGTGTGTATCATACCTGGAGACCTGCAGAGATATGGTCTGGTTCATGTCTAGTTTAAAGTGAGTGGGTGAGTGGGGATTTTTTAAAATTTGCTTCAAATGAAGTACACTCCATTTTAAACACGTTTTAACTGAAAAAAAAAAAAAAAGAACAGCTAACACACGGTCAACAGTTGCAGACTGCTGGCTTGACAAGTCTCCTGGTGTCCATGTGTGTTGAATGTGTGACAGGAGGGGGAACAGAATGATTGTGCTGCAGATTAGTATGTTTGTGTGAATACTATGAATCAAAATGGCAAAATTATCCGTATGCATTGTATTAAATGCGTCAATGTAATTTTAACAATGAGAGTAATATTTAATAATGGCCATTGATTGGGGCAGCTTCTTTCATACTGTCTTTGATCAAAAAGTGGACAACTTGTAATGAATGTCTAACAGTGCTTTGTAAGCCATTTTACACAGACTCAGGCATGCCTTATTTTCTCTGAAATGTGTTTTTTTTCATAAATCATACTTTTGTGTTTTTTGTGTGCTCAGATTTTACATCAAGTACAGCGTTTGACATCTATTTTGCCATAAAATGAATGGTTTTGGGTTTAAATTACATCAGTTTTACAGGAAAGAAGAAATGTTTTTTGCTTTCCATACCATCCATTAACAGAATTTCTTTGTATCCTCATCAGATTCCACAATATGGCCAGGCCTCTCTCAATAATCAATATTTAGCTGCATTGACAGAGAGGTAATGGACAGATTCTCCATTAAGGCCTAAACAGTCTAAGTTACAGTAGGAACATGGGCTTCTTAAGGGATCATTTTCGATTCATATGGTGGTCTAATGGGAATAATGAAGCTCTCAGCCAGTTAGCAGCATATTCTATTACCCCAGGCCTGCCAGTACTGATGGCTTGTCTTGTTTTCCTGTTTTTGCATGAAGTTCATGGACAGGCACGGCACCAAAGGCCAAGAATCAAAGGTCACTCCAGTGACAAAAAAAGTTGTTTGCAAAGTTTCCCAATTAAACAAAGCCACAAACTTTACCTTAACCTGTGTGAGTAAGCAGCCAGTCTCAGTGCTGTACAATAAATCAAATATGAAGCAATAGTGCTTGAAATCACATACAAAGTTACTGAGTATCTGTGCAATCCTATACAAATTACAGGCTCCTCTGTCACAGTCAGCCGCTATGCTTTACAACTACATTAAAACAGTTTTCACAACAAGACAAAAACACTCTAGAGACCCTCACATCATCTGTCAGGCAGCTGTGAGCAAACCTCTGCACCTGGCCAAGACATGCTCAAAAGAGAGCCAGGCCAGGAAGGCCTGCGAGGGGACCCAAAAGGAGGTGGAGGAGTGGGTCGGCTCCCACAGCAAGGCCAAAATGTGCTGCTCGCTGGGCCTGACACTCAAAGCAGGAATGCTTTCAAATAGTCAAAAGGGACAGAAAGAAAGGAGGAGGGGGCAGAAGAGAGGGAGGGAGGAAGGAGAAGAGGAGGAATGAGAGCAGAGGGGATATGTGCCTCACTCTGAGAAACTTTTCTGGTTCTAATTTACACATCTATGACCACAGCCCAGAATGAGCTCACTGTGAGAGGAGAATAACAACAACCAAAAGCAAGAAATAAAAAAAAACCTATGCAGAAAGTGATTAAAGAAAGAGTGCAAAGAAAAGAGGGTAGATGGTAATTATTCATCAACATACTTTCAGGTCATATTGCTGAACATCTACTGATCAATACATAAACTAAAACTAGGCTGAAATGCATGGCCAAAAGGCTAGAAAATTGACAAATAGGGTGAGGGCAGTAATGGTAGGGTGAGAGAAAACTGTAATGATGGAGCCAAGAGAGATGCTGCAAGGGTTTCTCTATGGAGAACAGCAGACGGAGGCGATTAGTGGTGGTTCTGGAATGTGAGGGTCAGAGATCTGGGCTCTGCTGGGACCCGCTCTGTAAACACAACCCCGCCTCGACCAGCAGAATACCCCCAAATACACATACAGGCTCAACACACTCACATACACATAAAAACCACACTTGGATGCAAACAAACCAAACCCGCAGCCACAAAGACTAACAGACAACCAAACAAACCGCAAAAAACCCACTAGCACCTAGAAAAAAACACTAACCAACCAAATAAACCATGCTAGAGCCAGAAAACCACATAAAATCAAACAATCCTAAAGAAAAGGAAAACAGCCCATTCACTATCACAGACCTAAATGAACTCATGTGGATGCTGCTGCTGTAGGACAAACACCCTGTGCATCCTAATAGATTAGCATGACACACAGCCTAAAGCTATATCTAAGCCACAACAAGGGCCATCTGTGTCATCACACCCAATAATATCTGACTGTACAGGCTTCGTTCTACATTTGCCCTTTGATAGGACTGGAGGACATACAATTAGTGACCTGTCAACACAGGTCCATCTGGCCTGCAGCTTATACTGGGCTGGGCCTGAGCTGTGGAACCAGCTTGCTACAGCACCCTTCAGGGGTGGTCCACCCTCGCTGGGCCTCTCATCCAGCTTGCATGTGCCAGTATTTCCCAACAAAATTCTAAGCTGCTTGTTTACTTTCAAGTCAACCTTGCTAAAAAATAATAAGCAAGTGAACTGACTTGTGAAGTGTTGTAATTTGAATCTTTGTGAGCATGATAATCCCTGGTAACAACACTATAAGTCTGCCTAACATGCTCATAAACAGTGGTCAGCAGTGGGGCTGGGTGGGCTTGTACGATTATTTGTGCAATAATGACTTTAACTGCACAAAGCTGTCTCCATAAGCTGGCTATGATCTTTTATCTAATCACTATTCATTTTGAATCAGGTACTTTGAGGGCACAGCCAATTTTTTTTACATTTCAGCTGATATAAAAAAGTCTTTGTTTAAAGAGGCAGTCTGGGAAGAGAGTGCACACCATCACACAAGCTCAAGCACACAAAAGAATGAACACACACACCACTGTATGGTAGGTAACACTTAAATAGGAGGTGAAGTCATTTGCACCAAGGCAGTGATTATGATTGGCAACCATAAACTGCAACAGACCCAATT